TGAATGTCCCCATAAATCATGGAAACACAACGTGTGTGTGTGTGTGTGTGTGTGTGTGTGTGTGTGTGTGTGTGTGTGTGTTGCTGTCCGTGGTGCTGAACATCATCTGAACACTAGAGGGAGCCGCTGGACTCTCAATCCTCAACACTTTAATTTCTCCTTTATTTGTTTCACTTTCGTTTCAATCTGATTTTATTTTCACTTCCCACTTTATTATTCTCTCTCCCTCTCTATCGGTGGCAGATATATATAGGAGGTGGGCATCTCTGTCACATTCATCAGTTCATGTTAAACATGTAACCAGGAAAGAAACACTAAAACTCATCTGAACACACATCGAGAGCTTCAGAAGAACTGAATCTACTAACAACAGAGAAGATCACTGAATAAGAGAGAAGAATGAAGATCATCTGCACTTTCACTCTGCTGATGATTCCTGGTAAGAAACTGAACTCTTTCACTTCAGCTCATGTTGATGTTGAAAAGTTGAAGAGAGCTCATTTATGTGTAACCTCATAAATATATTAAAGTGTTTTTAATGCTGGTTTGTTGTAGGTGTGGTGAGCTCCATCAGTGTGACAGGATATTCAGGAGGAGGAGTCAGCATCACATGCAGATATGATAGAGGATATACAGAAAATGCTAAGTATTTTTGTAGAGGACAGTGGTCAGAGTGCACAGACCAAATCAAGACGGATAAAACAAATGGTGAAAAATGGGTTGATTCTGGAAGATTCTCTCTGTATGACGACACAAGAGCAGCAGTTTTCACTGTGACCATCAGAGATCTGAGTGAAGAGGATTCTGGGATGTACCAGTGTGCCGCTGATATCTCTTGGGCTAAAGATTTCTACTCTGAAGTGAATCTGAATGTTTTAACAGGTGAGTGACTGAGACTCTGAAACTCGTGATGATCTCCACTATATCAGCACAAACACTGACTGTAATTACTGTGATTCGTACACTACATGTAATCCTCTAAAAAAAAACATCAGAAAAACAATAACAGGACGAATGTAATTTTTTTTTATCTTGCAATATAGATTGACACTTATAAAATGAGTAAGCAACCAGATGTCTTAATTTAATACAAACTGACAAATGATCAAAGCTTTAAAAAGTCTTTAAAAGGAAGTGAAGTATCAGTGAGAGAACATTTACACATCTAGCACTCCATCTTACTGACACTTTACTGTGTTTTAGATGCAAACAGTCACAGAATATCTACATCATCATCATCATCTTCATCTTTCTCACCAGGAGAATCTCCACTGATCTCATCTGCGTCTCCTGTAACTGGTACAAACTCACTGATTTCTGTCAGTCGGTCAGTTTTGATCTTCAGAGTGATTGAGTGAATCTCTGGTGTTTGCAGGCTCTTCTCTGATCATCAGTGTGTCTGTGCTTCTGCTTCTGATCTTCAGTGTGATTCTGTTGGTGATCGTCTCTCTCTGGAGGAGGCGTCAGTCTCACGGTAACACTCCTGCTCCTTTACTCCCTCCTACACATTTAGTTTCTTTAACAGGTTTGTGTATATATTTCTTACACTGATCAAGCTGGTCCATTAACATTCAAAGAGATGTGATAATGTCTAATCAATGTACGAAGGAAATTAATAAATGTATTGAGATATGATTTGATCCACATGGGAATAAACTTTTGTTCATCTGTTTATTTTTGACAGACGCTCATCCCTCATCCAGAAGATCTCACAGGACTCCAGCAAACACTGACGCGGTTAGAATTAATGTGATTTTAAAAAATGTTTGTTTTGATCAAACATAAGAACTAATTGTAGCATCTGATTATTGAAAGACTGAATTATTATTAAATTTGTCAAATCTATTTCTCTCCCCAGGCTTCTAATTATCATTGTGATTACGAGGAGACTGAAGACAATCGCAGACAATTACCCACAAACCCCTCTGATTCTACTAATGCAATCTATGCTAATCCAGAATTACCCATAAACCCCTCTGATTCTACTAATGCAATCTATGCTAATCCAGAATTACCCATAAACCCCTCTGATTCTACTAATGCAATCTATGCTAATCCAGAATTACCCATAAACCCCTCTGATTCTACTAATGCAATCTATGCTAATCCAGAATTACCCATAAACCCCTCTGATTCTACTAATGCAATCTATGCTAATCCAGAATTACCCATAAACCCCTCTGATTCTACTAACAGAGTTCACACTGTAACATTGCAGAAGTCCACGTCTTTCAGTCATTATCATCTACTGAGGGTCTGAAAAACACAGACGGTCCTGATGATGTTCCTTCAACAATTATCTGTCTTCACATTAATGTCTATCGTTGCATGCAGTTATGAGCCAGTGATTACAGTAAATACATGTTAGCGATCTGCTGTTTTTAGTTTATTTGCTCAGTAAACACCACCATTGCACCTGCTGAAGGGATTTATGTCATTTTCTTAGTATGTTTAAAACATGGTGTGCATTTGTGAACAAAATAAAAGATTATAAAAGAAGTATAAATAAAATCATTATTATTTTAGCATCAAACCACATCAGTAACTCATTTTCTTACAAAGTCAGCAGCAGCTCAGGCCTGTCCATATAAACTGCATTATGATTTGATTTATGTTTCAGTTACACAGCTCCTGAAGGTCAGTTATTCTGCATTATGTTTTATGAGGTGTAATGCCATCTTCTGGACTGACTGAGACTGTGTGTGTGTGTGTGTGTGTGTGTGTGTTGCTGTCCGTGGTGCTGAACACCATCTGGACACTAGAGGGAGCCGCTGGACTCTCATTCCTCAACACTTTCATTTCTCCTTTATTTGTTTCACTTTCGTTTCAATCTGATTTTATTTTCACTTCCCACTTTATTATTCTCTCTCCCTCTCTATCTGTGGCAGATATATAGAGGAAGTGGGCGTCTCTGTCACATTCATCAGTTCATGTTAAACATGTAACCAGGAAAGAAACACTCAGAACTCATCTGAACACACATCGAGAGCTTCAGAAGAACTGAATCTACTAACAACAGAGAAGATCACTGAATAAGAGAGAAGAATGAAGATCATCTGCACTTTCACTCTGCTGATGATTCCTGGTAAGAAACTGAACGCTTTCTCTTCAGCTCATGTTGATGTTGAAAAGTTGAAGAGAGCTCATTTATGTGTAGCCTCATAAATATATTAAAGTGTTTTTAATGCTGGTTTGTTGTAGGTGTGGTGAGCTCCATCAGTGTGACAGGATATTCAGGAGGAGGAGTCAGCATCACATGCAGATATGATAGAGGATATACAGAAAATGCTAAGTATTTTTGTAGAGGACAGTGGTCAGAGTGCACAGACCAAATCAAGACGGATAAAACAAATGGTGAAAAATGGGTTGATTCTGGAAGATTCTCTCTGTATGACGACACAAGAGCAGCAGTTTTCACTGTGACCTATGTGTCTCCTGATGTCCCTGTGAAGACCAGATTCATTGAAGGAACTGAAAGAGTAAAAGAGACATTCAAACAAATACGTAGAGTTTTATTCAACTGGGGACTAGTTTTATGAACGTGAATTCACTTATTATTATGTTTAACATCACTATATATAAGTTATTATGCTAAATAAATTAAATAAGAACGTAAATGATGAATGTAAAAATGCGTAGGATTTTAAAGTGTAATTATAGCACTGTAATATAAACCAGTAATAATGAAACAATCAGAAACGTGTGCAGTTACCATAGAAAGCGCTGCTGATTGGATGTGTGTCAATCATTTTATTTTCACTTCCCCCATTATTCTCTCTCCCTCTCTATCTGTGGCAGATATATAGAGGAAGTGGGCGTCTCTGTCACATTCATCAGTTCATGTTGAACATGTGACCAGGAAAGAAACACTCAGAACTCATCTGAACACACATCGAGAGCTTCAGAAGAACTGAATCTACTAACAACAGAGAAGATCACTGAATAAGAGAGAAGAATGAAGATCATCTGCACTTTCACTCTGCTGATGATTCCTGGTGAGAATCATTTTACTTTATTTTATGTAAAACACTTTGAATTATCATTGTGTATGAAATGTGCTATATAAATAATTGTGCCTTGCCTTGCCTTGCCTTGAAGGAGTAAAAGGTTAATTTAAACAAAAAAATACGGTGTAAAACTCAACAGGTGGTGAAATTTTTACCATATTAAAATGTGCCATTTTTATCAATCAGAAACATATGCTTATATTTACCATAGAGCTTCTGCTGTTTGCATGTGTGTCCTTCGGATGGCACTGTCCAGTATCTCACTTTCACTTCCTTATTTATATTATATTTGATATATATTTTGGGCTAAAGATTTCTACTCTGAAGTGAATCTGAATGTTTTAACAGGTGAGTAACTGAGACTCTGAAACTCGTGATGATCTCCACTATATCAGCACAAACACTGACTGTAATTACTGTGATTCGTACACTACATGTAATCCTCTAAAAAAAAAACATCAGAAAAAAAATAACAGGACAAATGTAATTTTTTTTATCTTGCAATATAGATTGACACTTATAAAATGAGTAAGCAACCAGATGTCTTAATTTAATACAAACTGACAAATGATCAAAGCTAAAAAACAAATGTATGTATACAGTGATGAAGACGCAGATATTGTGTGTGTGTGTGTGCATGTGTGTGTGTGTGTGTGTGTGTGTGTGTGTGTGTTTCACTAGTGTTAATGAAAGAAGATGAAGTGCTGTTCTTCATCAAGAACATCATCGTCATCACACTGATATCTGAGTTTGTATTCAACAGGTCAAAAAATCAGTGCTGTGACGGGATATTCAGGAGGAAACATCATTATAAACTACAGATATGAGACGCTAGAATATAATTCTTTGATAGACGTCTGTAAAACTGGAGCAGATCAATGTTTAACTCTAATAAACACTAACAGAGCAGCAGAATGGACACATGACGGCCGATTCTCTGTTCATGATGACAGATCTGCTCGTCTCTTACGTGTGTTTATCAGAGAACTGAATGAGAACGATTCTGGAGAATATAAGATTGTAGTCAAAGTTTCTGAAGACTACAGTTTCTTCTCTGAGTTTCACCTGGACGTTAAGAAAGGTGAGCTGCTTTCATTCACTCATGCATTTGTTTATGTGGTGAACTGATGAATCTGTTGTTTAATGTGAACATGATTTGTCTCTCAAGCAGCTGATTGTTGTGAGAAGAGCATCAGTCTATCAGCTGCTGCAGGAGGATCTGTGAACATCAGCTGCAAATACCCACAATCCCACAGTGCTGATGTGAAGTTTGTCTGCAGGAGATCTGAATCTGATCTCTGTGCTGAAGAGACGTCTGTGAAGAAGAGCAGAAGATGGAGCGCTGAGGGACAGATGCAGCTGTATGATGACAGAGAGCAGCAGCTCCTGACGGGAACCATCAGTCATGTGACTCAACAGCATTCAGCTGAATACTGGTGTGGAGTTCAGTCTGATCAAGGACACAAGAGCTTCATCACACGAGTCCTCCTCAGAGTTACTGGTCAGCACTGATGAAACAAACCAGCCTCTCTTATGCTTTTATTTCAAGTTGGCAGTTTGTGGTTTTGTGTGTCAGCAAACATGTCTGATGGTTCAGTAATGTGTGAAAAACACCACCGTCTTTAAAAGGAAGTCAAGTATCAGTGAGTGTTAGAATTTACACATCTAGCACTCCATCTTACTGACACTTTACTGTGTTTTAGATGCAAACAGTCACAGAATATCTACATCACCATCATCATCATCATCTTCTTCATCTTTCTCACCAGGAGAATCTCCACTGATCTCATCTGCGTCTCCTGTAACTGGTACAAACTCACTGATTTCTGTCAGTCGGTCAGTTTTGATCTTCAGAGTGATTGAGTGAATCTCTGGTGTTTGCAGGCTCTTCTCTGATCATCAGTGTGTCTGTGCTTCTGCTTCTGATCTTCAGTGTGATTCTGTTGGTGATCGTCTCTCTCTGGAGGAGGCGTCAGTCTCACGGTAACACTCCTGCTCCTTTACTCCCTCCTACACATTTAGTTTCTTTAACAGGTTTGTGTATATATTTCCTACACTGATCAAGCTGGTCCATTAACATTCAAAGAGATGTGATAATGTCTAATCAATATACGAAGGAAATTAACAAATGTATTGAGATATGATTTGATCCACATGGGAATAAAATTTCATTCATCTGTTTATTTTTGACAGACGCTCATCCCTCATCCAGAAGATCTCACAGGACTCCAGCAAACACTGACGCGGTTAGAATTAATGTGATTTTTTAAAATATGTTTGTTTTGATCAAACATAAGAACTAATCGTAGTATCTGATTATTGAAAGACTGAATTATTATTAAATTTGTAAAATCTATTTCTCTCCCCAGGCTTCTAATTATCATTGTGATTACGAGGAGACTGAAGACAATCGTAGACAATTACCCACAAACCCCTCTGATTCTACTAATGCAATCTATGCTAATCCAGAATTACCCATAAACCCCTCTGATTCTACTAATGCAATCTATGCTAATCCAGAATTACCCATAAACCCCTCTGATTCTACTAATGCAATCTATGCTA